CGAACTCCCGGGCGCAGTTCCCTTGACAGCCAGCAGGTCCCTCGTTGGTGCCCTTCTGAGTTTGGTGCTGGTTGAAGCCGATGCTCTCACTGGATGACTTCCAGCTCCCATACCGGTCGGAGGGTGAAGCGACATGAGACTTTTAAAATGATTATTATAAATATACAAAAATCACAAACGTAAATATTGTGGAAGACTGACTAACTTCCAACTTTGGAATTCGTTTAATTATTTCTATACATAATTTGAGGTGATTGATAATAAGGTCCAGTATGTGAACCAGTCTGGTTTAGTGGTTAAGAGCACGGACTCTAATCTGGTAGAACCAGGTTTGAGTGCTGATTTAGAAAGGCTGAGGTCTTGTTTTTCTGTTCCCCGCCCCAGGCATCCTGAAAGACTATTTGCGTGAGCTGCCCACGCCCCTCATCACCAGCCATCTCTACCAGGTGGTACTAGAGGCTATGTCGAATCGGGCAGCAGGCCAAGATGTCGAGGAGACGACGGGGCTTTTGGATTGCTTGCCAGAGGCTGAGAAGGTAAGAGCCCAAGACATGCTTCAAGTTTCCCTTTTCCCCTGAGGTCTGTTGATTCCTTTGTCTGTCCTCTCTGATGGGGGCCAAGAATAACTTCCTACAATGTGACATAGGGTTGGTTGGCCAGAACGGAGGTGCCATTTGGCATACAAATCCAAGGACAGGATTTGCAAGGACAGGATCGCAATTCATTGCAGGCCTTCTAGTGGCAGAGAGCCCTTCAGAATAGATATTACTTGTAAGCAGACAATATATATTAGTTGTAAGCACCAAACAGCAGAGCCATACCATCAATAAATAAATAAATACCGAACAGCAGAAAGCGTGGATTACAGTTCACGCTAGGGACCAAACATGCTCTGTATGGGTGCAATTTGGCATACAAATCGCATTCCCTGAGACTTCCGAGGCCCCATTCAGGTTCTCAGCTTATTCACTCTCCACACACATTATAGGCAGTGTGTGGCGTCCTTACTATTTGGGGAGACTGTTTTTCCTTTAAACCACCCTCTGTGTATATAAACATGGTAGTTTTCTGCTGTCATTAGGAATTAAAAAATCCAATTCTCTCTCTTTTGGTAGTATGACCCAGGGTCTGGGCACTTCAGAGGACTATGTGGCCCTGAGGAAGGACTATTCTGATTTCTGGGATATGTTTAAACAAAAATTGATTTCTTGAATAAAGAACAAAATAGGTTTCTGGTTATCTTGAACGGTTTCTGGAAAAAGGAACTTGTAAATATAACTGGCAAGGTGTCACACACAGTCTCTCCGACACCAAAATTCCACACTGACAGGCTTCTCTCTCTTATATATGTAGCCACACTGGCTAAGCTCTTTGTCTTAGGGACACAAGATAAAACAGTTGTCTAACCACACAGTTTAAACACTACTTGTTTCTTTGCCATATAGACTCTCTCACACAGACTCTCTTCATAGCTCTTCCACACTTCACTTTCCAGAAGCTCATACACAGAACTCTGTCATAAAACACACACACAGATTCCTCTCAGAATATCTCCTCCCACACTCTCAGTCACCAGCAATGTTCCCTCTAAGCTGAGTTAGTGTGAGCTAGCTCACAGTTCTTTATCCTCCGGCTCAGACATTTTTGTCTTGGCTCAGCAGCCAAATCACCTGCTCGCAACTTTAACGCCGGTAGCTCACAAAGTCAAATTTTTGCTCACAGGACTCCACAGCTTAGAGGGAACATTGGTCACCAGCCAATCAAATCACACTCATCTCCCCCTATCACCCTCCTTGCATTACTGCAGTCAAACTAACATTTAAAGGAACACACACACCCTTTATTTGAGACGCTCCCCAAGTTTTCGGAGCGTTGCCATTTGCTTGAGCCGCTGCAACCCGAGTCTTCCGTTTTCCAGGCAACCCTGCGGCTGCTGCTGGACCACCTCAGCTTGGTCGCTGCCTTTTACGACTTCAACCGCATGAACGCCCAGAACCTGGCTGTGTGCTTCGGGCCCGTCCTGCTCAGCCAGGGACCCGGGAGGACCGGGGACCACAGCCTCGACTCCCAGCAGCACTTGACCGCTTCCAGCACCGTGGACTTCAAGCACCACATCGAAGTGCTGCATTACCTGTTGCAGGCCTGGCCGGGTGAGCAAACCACAGGCGGGGCGGTACGAGGGGGAGGTGTGCAGGGCTCCAGGGTCCTGACATATGGGAAAGGCCTGTGGCTCAGTGACAGATCATCCGCTTGGCATGTGGAAGGTCCCGGGTTCAGTCCCCGGCCTCTCCAGTTAAAAGGACCAGGTAGGCGGGGATGTGAAAGACCTCCGCCTGAGACCCTGGAGAGCGGTAAAGGGGGGCTGTGGCTCAGCGGTGGAGCATGTGCTTGGCATGCAGAGGGTCCCAGGTTCAATCCCCGGCATCTCCAGTTAAAAGGACCAGGTAGGAGATGTGAAAGAACGCCGCCTGAGACCCTGGAGAGAAGAAGAAGAGATTGGATTTATATTCCACCCTTCACTACCCAAAGGAGTCTCAGAGCGGCTTACAAACCCCTTACCCTTACCCTCCCCACAACAGACAGCCTGTGAGGTCGGTGGGGCTGAGAGAGCTCTTGACAGAAACTGCTCTTTTTCAAGGACAGCTCTTATCAGAACTGTGGCTTGCCCAAGGTCATCCAGCAGGTGCATGTGGAGGAGTGGGGAATCAAACCTGGTTCTCCCAGATTAGAGTCCAGGCTCCTAACCACTGCACCAAACTGGCTTTGTAAAGGGGGGCCGTGGCTCAATGGTAGAACATCTGCCCAGGGTCTCAGATTCAATCCCCGGCATCTCCAGTTAAAAGGACCAGGTAGGAGGTGATGTGAAAGACACTGGGAAAGAGGCGTGAGAGAATAAAACCAACACTGTCGGCAGCTGCTGCTGAAGCAGAATTATTTTAACCTGCCCAGTCAATGGGATCTCAAGTGGCCAATCAAAGATCCCGCTGGGTGAGTGCCCCACCTAGCACCACCCACTTTCTAAAACCACTTGGTAGGCACTAGGAAAAGTGTCAGAGGGCATGAGGGTGCCCCCTGCCACCACAGTGGTGGCCTCCAATATACAGACGAACAAACATTAGCGTAACCAGGTCGGTTGATATGAAGCAAAGCCTTCCCCCCCACCCACCAAGCCCCCTAGATAGATAGACAGACATACAGACAGACAGATAGATAGATTCTAGTTATTTATTGAGAGCCAGTGTGGTATAGTGGTTAGGAGCATGGACTCTAATCTGGGAGAACCGGGTTTGATTTCCCATCTTCTCCACATGCAGCTGCTGGTGTGACCTTGGGTCAGTCACAAGTTCTCTCAGAGCTGTTCTCTCAAGGGCAGTTCTCGAGAGAGCTCTCTCAGCCCCACCTACCTCATAGGGTGTCTGTTGTGGGGAGGGGAAGAGATTGTCAGCTGCTCTGAGACTCCTTTGGGTAGTGAAGGTCGGGGTATAAATCCAATCTCTTCTTCTTGGTTTTGAATCCTGGCACCCCACTTTAGAAATTAGCCCCGGAGTCCTATGCAGATGTGCCCTTTTTAGTCTCAGATTTTTTCAGTTCTTACGTTCGGAAATCCAGCTACCCCTTGTTCCGTACCGGCAGGGCCGGCCCCAGCTTATTTTGCACCCTAGGCAAGGATCCCTTCTGGCGCTCGCTGTGCGCCACCCCCTCCCCCCCGTGCATTGCCCCCCGTGCTGGTTAGGGCTGCCGCCCTCCCTCGGGTGCTGCTGCTGCCACACTGACTGACCCACTTTGCCCAGCTGCTGCCTCGCCCAGCGCCTTTCCCGGTTCCTGCCTCCCACAGGCTGGTAGGTCGCAGGAATGGGCCACGCTAGGTAGGGGGGCTTTTGGCGGGGGGCCGGGTGCAGTTTGGTGCCCCTAAGGGCCGGCCCACTCTAGGCGAAGGCCTAGTTCGCCTAGTGAGCGAGCCGGCCCTGCATACCAGACTGCTTAACTTACTCTCCCTTTCCCTCTGTAGCTCAGCGCAGGATGGCGGAAGCAGACGAGCACATCCTGCCCAGCGAGCGTGCCCCGTGCCCCCTTTCTCTGGACCTGCCACGGCAGCGGCCCGCCGTAGTGGTTCGGAGCCATTCGAGAGGCCCGGAAAGTCCTCCCAGTAACCGCTACGCCGGGGATTGGAGCGTCTGTGGGCAGCAGCTATTGCTGGAGCCCCCCCGGGGAAGCGGCGGCCCAGACGAGGCTGCCGGGAGCGAGAGCGACAATGAGGACAACCAAGAGGTGGCCCCGAGAGACAGTCTGACGTGCCGGGGGCAGAGCATCTTCCTGGACTCCTTTGCCTTGGTGGAAGACCCCGAAGCGGCCTTCAGCCCGAGGATTAGTCTGAAGGATTTCGATGCCCTCCTGCTGGACCTGGACAAGGAGCTCTGCAAACAGATCAACGTCTGCCTGTGACCCCCTTTTTCTCAGGACGTCAGAGTGGAACCCAGGAAACCTCCATATCTTTCGGTGTCTTGTGGAAGAACTTGGCCAATGTATGTTGGGAGCTCATTGCTGACAGACATAAAACTTCCAGTTATAAAAGTCTCCGTTCTCTAAAGACCAAAGAATTGTATTGGAGCAGGATAGGAATGTGCCAAAGCCTCTCTAAAGGTCTTGTTCACTTGAATAGTCTGGAAGGGGGGGGGAACATTTATAAAACTAGAACCAATTTAGAGTCCAGTGGCACCTTTAAGACCAACAAAGGTTTATTCAAGGTATGAGCACACTTATTCAAATAGGTCAAGATGGAAGGTAAGGTGCAAACTTATAGACAGGCTGAACAGCTAATTAACATGCAACATGATGAAGATGTTTTAAGATATGCGAAGACAAAACTAAATAACAAGCTGTGGTGTCCTTGCTTGTAGGGGAAATGAGTACATAAACTTGGTAGTTTTCTGCTGCCACCAGGAATTAAAAATTCCAAATCTCTCTCTTTTGGTAGAATGACCCAGGGTCTGGGCACTTCAAAAAATGATTTATTTAATAAAGAACAAAAATATTTTGAACTGTTGCTGATGAAAGGAACTTGTAAATATAACTGGCAAAGCTTGGTGTCACAAACAGTATCTCAAAGTCCCAAAACTCCACTCTGACAGGCGTAGACACTCATTCTAATCTCTCTCTCTCTCTCATATATATATAGCCACACAGTCTGAACTCTTTGTCTTATTCACACAGAATAGACTCAAAACTCATATTCACAGAGACTAAACCGTTTGTCTTTTTCACACATAATAGACTCAAAAACTCCCATAGTCACACAGACTATGCTCTCTCTTCAAACTTCACAGACAGAATCACTCTCATAGACACCCCTCCTCCCACACTCTCAGTCATCAGCCAATCACATCACACTTGTCTCTCTCCCACTCTTCTCATAATACATAACACAAGCTAAGGTTATAAGGCTTGTTATTTAGTTTTGTCTTCGCGTATCTTAAAACATCTTCATCATGTTGCACGTTAATTTGCTGTCCAGCCTGTTTTATAAGTCTGAGCCTTACCTGCCATTCCAATGAATTTAAAAAAGGGTGCCTGCACATGGAAGCTCGTACCTTGAATAAACCTTTGTTGGTCTTAGAGGTGTCACCGGACTCTAAATTTGTTCTACTGCTTCAGACCAACACGGCTGACCACCTGGATCTATTTATAAAACTATGTGATCAAAAAGAAAGGAAAAGAAGTCACAAGGGAGAACCGTGCCTTGGTTTGTCCACATATATCAGATTTGGTGCCAGAAATAAGTTGTCCCTTTTAAGAAGAGGAGGAGGAGATTGGATTTATACCCCGCCCTTCACTACCCAAAGGAGTCTCAGAGCGGCTTACAAACTCCTTTCCCTTCCCCTCCCCACAACAGACACCTTGTGAGGTAGAGACTTTGATAAAGAAGGATTTTGCAGCTTTGTTTTGATTGTTTCATTATAGATCGTTTTGGACCTGTTTCTTAGATTTGACTTGTGGATTCCGGAGAACCTTCAGGAGGAAGAGAAGAGGGACCAGAAAGCCTCTTGAACACTATCTGAGAAGAGTGGGTTGAGTTCTTTGGTGCCCATGTGTGAAAAAATGTAGATTAGTTACGCTCACTTTCTCTCCCCAACGGGGACCCAAAGCGGTTTCACCATCATTCCCGTCTTCCCCGTCATCTCCTTGCAAACAGCAACCCTGTGGGGTAGGTTAGTGTGAGAGAGAATGCCTGGCCCGAGGAGGCCCGAGAAGCTCCCGCGGCAGAGTGAGGAGGACTCAGAGCTGGGCTCGGTGGCCTTTTCTAGAGGGCGTCTTCATCAGATGTCGCGGGGGAGCTAGGGCAGGGCGTCATATGCATGCTTTTTGCTTTGTGTTCGTGTGCTCTTATGTTCAATAAACCAGTAATATTTGCAAATCTTAATAACTTGCATG